TAATGTCAATGTCATTATGTGTCAACATTTTATCAACCCCACCCCCCATGATGACGTTAACCAAATACGAGTCACCCCCCCCCAATTTTCTCGTACACAATATAAAACACTATTAAGATGCTATTGGTTTATTCATTAAAATCTTTATTGATAAAAAAAATTAAATAGGAAATAACACAAAATAAATTGCTTTAACCTACAGCTCAAATCGTCTGGAATGTACTTTTAGCCATTCTTGAATGTCTTCTATTACAGGAGTATTCTGTGAAACTTGTTCCAATTCACATTGAAGTGGCTTTTGACAATCCATATTTCCATCATCTTCGTCTTGCTACTCGATTTCCTGACACCCAGAAATCAAATTTTCTATAACCACAAGAGCTTCTGCCTTGCGCCGAGCTTTGATTTCGGCATTTTTTTCTGTGGATTTCCCTATCATTTTGCCATGTATTTTTGCATGCGCATTAAGAGACTTTCAAAATCAGAGGCTCACTGAACAAATTTTGAGCATAAAATCCGATTTTTTTTCGCGCAGTTGACTGTGATAAAAATTACTAATACACTGATTAATGTTGACGTCAACAAGAGCCTGATCCCCCCCCCTTGTCATCATCTGTCAACAATAGCCAGACCCCCTCCCCCCCTAGTCGTGATGACACAATATGTGAACGTCCCCTTGTATGTACATTTTTTTAAGAGCAAATATACATAAATATGCATATATCAAATTATAATTCTTAGTGACGAGGTCGTCACAGGTCGCCGTATAGATGTCGACTATAGTCGGCACCCCTGGACATAGCTTCCCACACGACTGCCGATTATAGCCGGCACCGAAACGGTAACGAAAGGGTTAATATAGGACTTTTTCTTAGCTGATACACTGTTTGTTTGTTCATATTTTCGATGATTACAGTTGTTATAATAACAGTAATTATATTTAAAAATAATTGTATGTAAAGGAAAATTAACTTCTGAAGAATTCTAATGTATGCTTTCATCTACGAAATTATGTTGATAATTCTGCAAGATGCTAAAATTATCTTCTTAATTAAAGTTCTATTATTTAGTTTGATGACATTCTTTCCGCTTCGTTTTAATTCGCGACTGACGAACAGCTTGAAGGCAGGCACTAAAGGGAAATTATAGGTTTCACTCTGTAACCTTTTGCGGTACTCCACAAAAAACGTGTTAGGTGATTTCATAACGAGTACTACTTGACAGATCTGTGCTGAAAGCTTTACACTTTCAACTTCTAGCGAAATAACGCATTCATTGGTAATATTGTAAATTTTATTATATATCATTACATCTAGATGCTTACGAGAGATATGATACCATTCTTACCGTCTGTCAGTGAATTTCAGGAAGCATACTAAAGACTCATTTAATTTAACTAAAGCACGGACTAGCCAAATAGTAGTCTATATGGAATAATCTAACGCGTTATTAATTATTAATTAACTGTTAAATCATATTTAGATATAAGCAGCAGTAATAACACACAAATATGATGAAGACGTTATAGAAAATGTTGAAAGTTCACAGAAATCATGTACTTGGCAAGTTTTTTTTACACAAAAGTGTTTTTGGTGCGATATCAAAAGTTTTCGTTCATCATGTTATATTAAATAAAGTGTGGGTACACGAAATTTATATGGATGTGAAATGAACATGACTTCTTTGCAGTTATACATTGTGACGTGACATTTCGACATGCACGCCACAAAATGTAACATTCTGCGATTTCCGGCTACATCGTGGGGCCCTATGCGTGGGGAAGGGATTTCGTGGCGTTGGACTGTATATTATCTGTTGAATTTTTATTTATTTCCCTCGTCGCAACGTTTTTTTGTGTTTTTATATTTTTCAAGCGGATCTGGAAGGATCTTGTCAAAATTTGAATACTGCGGGCCCCGAGAGTGCTAACTACGAGCCTGGTAGAGCGCGCTGGCGGGGCGTCGCGACAGCCAGACCGGAGCACACACCCTAAGATGTCAGCTACGCGGCCATTCAGCGAGCGTATCCCCGATCCAGAGGGCATACGGAAGTTGCAGTAACGGCCTGGAGCCGTTCATCGAGGGAGCAGAGGTGGATGCGATTCCCACCTCCCGAAAATATCACTGCAGCCATCCCAAACACGAAAGATACCAGGATCTACTTTATCGGAATCGAAGAAAACAATTGAAGATCGCGAGCGCTCTGGCGAAGTCGATGGGTCCGCCAATCAGCTTGGCCTAAGGGATGTATTACAGCGCGCCTCTTGGGAAGGTTCCCGATTTTCGAAATTCTTAGCGTCACTCACGGTGTGGCCGAGCCTAGGAACAGACGTGTTTTCGTCTGATAAACTTTGTATAGTCTCGTATTGTTTTGTTTTAGCATTTTCGGATTTTTCTAGTATTGTATAGTCTACCGTGCCGTTTTGCGACCGCTTGAGGAACCCAGTATCAAAGAGATTGTGTCTTGGGGATATCTGGAGCGACTAGCAGGGCGGTGCGTAACGCTTTTGTGAGTTGACCATATTTACGTGAATGAGAGATAGACCGTGACGCAGTATCGTGCCTTACGCACTCCCGATCGTTATTGTATCCGCGGATTGCTCATCGGTGGCGCTCTGGAGGATCGGTGCTATTTAATATCGTTTATGGGTCAAATGTTGGTTTCGCGTTACCGTCGATACAGTCCACGCCTCGCGGAGTCATTTCCTTAGCGCAAGGGTATCGTGAGTCCGTTAGCACTCGTTAACATTAAATTCTGTATAATATCCTTTTGCTTGTATATTCTGTGAGGAATGTGGTATAGCGTGTATTTCCGTATAGTATGGAGTACGATGCATATTTTTGTAGAATATTAAGGTCCTGTAAGTTTGTAGATATTGGTTTGCCAATAGGTCTTCGGGACCGCCAACTTAAATAATTCCTTTGGGGGATCTACGGTCCCGTTCTGCGTAAAGCGGGTATATTTTGTATAGGAACCGTTGTTCCATCTCTTTTTCTTATTGTGTTGAATAAATCTGGCCAGATTGTGGTTCCGTATTTAATTTTGAAAACTTTATCGTTTGTTCGTTGTAGTTTTTGAGAGTGAACCTCCCTAGATTTTAGATTGCGTTTATTGTCTCCCAGACCCAGGACCCCACTGCATAAGAGCTGGCCAGGGTGTCCTTAGGAGACAGCGGTGTAACTCTGGTTATACCTGGCGCCCAATAATTTAGTATTTTATTAATTATTTCTCGCGGTGCCATTTATTTGTGCGTCACCGTTAAAAAGCGTCGTCACAACATCTTTAAAGATTTGAAATATGAGTTCATTATAACATCGGTCATCAGAGAAATATATTGCCGGAAATGCTGAAAGGCATTTAAATTTAATATAGAAGTACCTAAAAATTTATCTGAATTTGTAACGAAAATGTAGTATTCTATGCAAAGTGCTATTCAGTTGAAAGGACTATATAATCAATCCATAATTATATAAAACAATTGGGAAATATAAAAAAATTTACTTGCAAAATGCACTGATAATTTCATTTAACCCAAGACAGGAGGGCGTTATAAACGGGTATGCTCCTTATGAGTATACGAAATGGGATGTAGGTAAGTGCTCGGGGCTGTCGAGTTTAAGAACTTAGGCAACACAGGATTAAATGATAAAATAACAAAGATTTATTATATTATCGATGACAAGTACAACAGTTTTTCTGTGTACGTTAATTACAATTGTCCAAAATAAACGTCAGTATTGTAGGAAAAGATTGTCACGGGAAGCGTCCTACATTTGTTGTCTATTCCTATCTTTCTCTGACCTGTCATTGAGGAATAGAGGCATTATCGACTGAAGATAGAAATTTAAATCCACAATAGGAAACCTTTAAGAGAGCTGATAAAACTGAACTTCTACTTACTAAGTGCTGCACTTGACCATGGATTAAGAAATTTCGTGATGGTTGAACAGGGATAGGCGTTGGTTTAAGGATCGAAGGAAGATTGTTAATAGAACATTTTGCAATAAAGTTGCGTACGGGTAATCACAATTTCGAAACAATAATTTAATTTAAAGGTAAAATAAGATAACTTATGTTATTAAAATAGATTGTCAATACGATGTTTAACTGTTG